TTCCTGCTGGATTTCTTTCATAGTCAAAGAATTTTCAGAAGAAAAATTCCCTTCTCTTTGAGGGGATTTTTTGGATATTGTTTTTTTGGCTCTTATTGCTTATAACTTGAGTCTAGTATAAGCAGCATTTGATTTTCTCAAGATGTTAATTTACATTCCAGCATTTTAAAACCAGCCTAGTATAGTATTACTTATACATTTCTAATTTCCTGCATATGACCTTTGTGGACAGAAATTTACATAAATAATTTGTATAACTTTGATTATTTACTGTTTGTAGATTCATGTTACTTAAGTGAATACCAGTTCTTTAAAACTGTAGGCTGTGGTCATCAGTTTCTCATGTTGGCAAGTTAACCAATTTTAGTTATCAGTTGTGATTTTTATTCCTAGTTAGACATTTATTGTACATGTTTTAGAAATTCTTAAAATCTAGAGTTGAGGGAGCTGCTAAAAACTATTAAAGGTTCAAGTTTTTAACTTTAAAAATTTTTTCAGTGGGTTTTATGAAATATAAGACCTAAGCATCTACTCTGTTCAATTTTAAAACCTAAACTCCATACTTACTTAAATGTTAACAATTCCTTGTGGTAATGGTCAAGAAAACATCTACCTGTGAATTTTGATGAAATAAAATACCTATATGGCTTCATTAAGTTTCACCAAATTCTTTGGACCACTCCTTAATATATGCCAAAATTTGCCTAGGGATGGAGATATATTAAAGTCTCATCTTCAGGGTTGGGCTTCTTTTCCCCATTTAGGTTTTCTTCCCTTTCATTCCTGAAGATGTTCGTATGTTTCTTTCAGTAACTCTACCCCTGGGAAAACTGCTTCAGGAAAACTGTTGGTTTCAGGGGAAAGGGATGTATGGAAAGAAAGCCTGCATCCCCAAAGGAAAAACTAGGAACAGACACATTTCCATATATGCATTTTTTGAGAGAGCTGTGGCATCAATATACATACTGTCTTTGAGTCTTGCAAAATTCATTCATTAAGCAAACATTTGTTGAATGCCTGTTAGGAGTAAGGCACAAAAGTCATGTGCTCATAAGGGTGAAAAAGGTTAGCCGGGGCTTGTAATTTAGTGTACAAGACACTAATAATAAGGCTCCTATAATGTATTAAAGTAGGGATCCCCAAACCCCCAGGCCACAGACTGGTACTGGTCTGTGGTCTGTTAGGACCTGGGCCATATAGCAGGAGGTGAGTGGCGGCCTATTGAGTGAAGCTTCATCTGTATTTGCAACCGCTCCCCAGCACTAGCATCACTGCCTCAGGTACACCTCAAATCATCAGGCATTAGATTCTCATAGGAGCAACAGTCCCTGGTGCCAAAAAGGTTGGGGACCGCTGTATTAAGGGAATTTCAGAGGCAGGCAATGACTTCCGAACAATGGGGTGGTATTTGAGTTGTTCCTTGGAATAATGAGAAGAATTAAGATGACTAGGGGTTGGACTAGGTTATCTCCAAGATCTCTTTATGCTTAAAAAATTTCTAGATATAGAAAAGGAATATGATTTTTTTGTGCCCACCTGGGGACTCCTAGGGGTTTATCTGATAGACTTTCATTAGATGCATGTTGATTTAGTTTCCTGGGCATAGTAGACATCTTCTAATTCTCAGCAAGTGACAGATTAAAAGTACCATCTAAGGTAAATAGAAATCTTAGGTCTCTAGTCTGCTAGTTTATTTAAATACTCAACATCATGACTCCATGTAGCTAAAATTCAGTGTCTGTCGCTGTTTAAAGAGCTTTACATGGATTATTCTCACAAGAATTCTATGAAATAGATACTATTGTCTCTATTTGACATATGAGGAAACTGAGGTACAAAAAAATTAAATAATTCGCCAGAGGACACTCAGTAGGTGATAAAGCCTGGATTCAAACACAAGTAGGTAGGCTCCAGAGCCTACATTCTTTACCACTGCACTATCCTGAAGTTTCAGCATCTAAACTATTGAGGTTCACTCTTATTTCAAATAATTTTTTTTCACCTTTCATTAGTTCCCTGTGCTTTTAAGATAGTTTCTAATAAGCTAAGGAGGGCAGAATATGAACCTGTATAAGTCATCTAACTAACATGGTCTGTTAATTATAACTACAGCAACCCCACAAACAGTGTCTGTCCCAAATAAAGTTGCACCTCCAGTGTCAGTGACAAGCCAAAGATTTACGGTGCAGATTCCACCTTCCCAGTCCGCACCTGTCAAACCAGGTAACCTAATGGGCAGGTAGGGAGGGTAGAGGGTTGAAAGTGGTTCTTTTAAAATATATTTTTTTTAATTTTGAAATTTGTGCATAATTTGTAATTATAGAACAGTTTGTGTTCCTATACCAAGAGTTAAATAGTTTTACTATCATAACAGGAAGGTGGCAGTAATGCTGCAAATCTTCAGAGGGGGGTCTATGAGCCCACTAAAATTATATGAAATTTTACATATATATAACACTTTGGGGTGCGGGAGAGGATTCAGTGTGATCATCAGATTCTTGAAAAACGCTTAACTAAAGTTAGGATCCACAAATCTAAGACATCTTCAGGGAAAAGCACTTAGGGTTAAGGCTCAGGAAAATAATATAACTTAGTGCACATCAAATGAAAATTGTACCTTTACTCACTTCATGGAAGGAGATATATAAAGTTGGAATAACTAGAATTCTGTTATAGTTAATGAATACATATTTAATTTCACATCTGAAACCTAACCACACACACTAAACTACTTGTATAAAAACCGCTTATATAAAATATTGGCCTATAAGGAAAGCATCATTCCTGACCTTGAACATATATATGCCTTCAGAATGTGCCATGATGAATCCAGTGCACTGTTTCCCATGACTAAGTACTAAGTGGAATTTTAGGTAGTTAAGTTCAAAAACAAAAAACTAACAGAACTCTTTTAACCTTGTACTAGGCAATATAATTACCCGAGTTTCTTCTATGTAGTCACACTTCTGCTACTGAAATTATTAGAATTACATTCAGCTTTGTTAAATACTTTTTACCATATGTTCTGGTTCTGGGTAATTCATAGTTCGGGGGTGTTTTCTCTGTTTACAGTTCCTACAACAACTGCAGTTCAAAATGTTCTGATTAATTCTTCAATGATTGGGCCCAAAAATATTCTTATTACCACCAACATGGTTTCATCACAGAATACGGCCAATGAATCAAACCCATTGAAGAGAAAACACGAAGATGATGATGACAATGATACTATGTAAGGAATATAGTCTAGATGCATTTCAAACATGTAGTTGGTTTTGAGCCCAACTAGAACATTCTAAATCATCTCAAGTTTTAGCTTAGAAAACTTAATTCATTTAAACTGTTAATTTCTTAACTAAAGATGCCAATGTTTTTTAATTAGGCTTCAAGTGTAAAAAGTTAAGCACTTGTTTCTTAATACTTTCACTAATGTTGGGTCCTAATATGGCAATTCTATATTTGGAAGCAGTTTTCTGCCATGTCTCACTAACAGCAGCATTTAAGTTTCAGTTTCCACAGCCTGGTCAGTGGACTAATCTGTATTAGCATAATTTCTTATCTACATTTAAATACTTTATTTTGTAAGGTAATAGTCACTTTTATTGTCACCAACTTTTTTATCAGATCTCTCAATTAGGAAACATTTTTGGAGAGGATGGATTTAGAGGGAATCTAAAGCCACTTTGAATGTATTTGTTTCTTGGTGTTCCCTAACCTTTCACCTCCTCAACTTGTTTCTATATCCCATTCGTTTTCTGCACCATCTTGTGTCTCTGTAGGCTTAAGGCTTAAGTTTCTCCCCATTCTCTTAAATTTATAAGACCAAAACTGGAATTTAAAAGTATCATTCCTGATAATACAGCTTAGTGTCATTTTCATATTTTTAAAACCTGCTTTACATGCCCAGTGTTCGATGGTTCATTTTAACCTGAAGATTTACATTTACTTTTTCTCTCCATACCAGAGCAGTTGAGTTTTGCCCCTTACCTTCATGCCCATTGAGCTTTACTCTGCTTTTGACAGATAGTTTTGGGTCAGTTACATTCAGTTTCAGTTGATAACTCCACCATATTTCACACTTCTAAGTTTAATATAGATGATACTATAGCTTAAAATCTGCCTTGATAAGTGATAACTATATTTACACTGGACCTATGCAAAACCACTGAAGAGCAAGTATTTTCTTTTTACCGCATGCCTATATGCTTTGATCACTACTGCTTGAACCCTCCTCCTGCTGGTATAATTCAGATCATTTTTCTGGCTAGTTGCTGAGGATGTCACACTTAAGATGGGATCAAACCTGAAAGTTTTCTAATGGTTTTCCTTCCTTTAGAAGGCTAACAACAAAAACAAATTAGTGTGATGTGACTTGCACTTAGGTGCACTCTGCATAGGTTTCCCAGTAATGTTGTAATGTTACTAAATACCTTTCCCCTTTTCCATTTATATACATCTTATTGGGAAAGATTGCAAAGCTTTCAAAAATATAAACAGGCTTGTGTAGTTCTTAAGTGAGTTTGACATATTCAACATAGGAATACTTTTGCAGAATTTTCTAAAGTGAATTTTCATATCGTAATTTAGAAGTTGTAGCCAAGGATCCTCAAAACTTAAAACACAAATTTCATCGTAGGATGGTGCTTGATACATCCAATAGAAATAGTCCAGCTACAGGGAGGAAATGTCTCATCACAATTTGAGTGTTTTGTGATGTTAGGAAAAGGTGGTATCAAACATATAAAAACAGATCTGATCAACATCACAGGAGAAATGTTCATATATATAGCATAGATTATCATTACTTGAATGTTCTCAGGGAGGCAGCATGTCAAAAGGTCTAGGTTCTAGTCCTGGCTCCATCATTTACCAACTGCGTGACCTTCACCTCTGAGCCTTGTTCTCCTCACTAGTTATAGGAAAACAACACTGACCCTGCCTACCTCACAGGGATGTTGTGAGGGTTTAATTGGTATAAGTGAAAGTTCTTTCAGAATTGTAAAATGCTATATAACTGTTAATGTATTTGTTCCAAGATTATTAATTAAAAATATTGAACTTATCATTTATCTTTCATTTTTTACTTAAGGGATTCAAGGAAGATGAACAAAGTCTAGTAATTCTGAGGTCCAAAGAGCAATTAAGATCTGTTTAATGGGTGAATTAATTATAAATCAGGGAATTGCTTGCTTTTATTTAGAGTCAGCATGTGATTTCATAGTGAAACAAATATGAAAGAATATGGATTTAAATCTGTTTAAAACATAACATGCTCCATCTTTGGTAGGATTTTGTACATATAATTGAGGTTACACTCTGAGTGTCCATTAACTTATTAGGTCAGCTAGTGAGTGGTTTGCTTTCAGATGAGGACTGCTTTATCTTGCAGACCTCCTTAACTATATCCACCTAATCTACCTTCAAGAATGACTTAAGGCAGCCCTTGTCCTCCAGTTTCTAGGTGGAATTTTTTAAAGATGTACTAATTGTAATTGAGGTGAGGACATTGTTGTCCCAAGTTCTTCCTTTAACATGTAGGAAACAAGTGTCTTCGATCTGAGTATGAGTATAGGAATACAGCTAGCATGTGAGAGAATGAAAGATATAATGCACACTGGTCTAGGGAGTCCAAGAGTGAAGGGAAGTACTCAGGAGGTAGGGAAGAAAACACTAATCAGAACAGCAGGTACGAAACAGTGTGTAATATGCCACCATATATATTTTAATATATTTAATGTATATACACACCTGGATAAGCTTTTTATATGCATTAAATAGCTCCAGATTTAAGGAAACCAGTCGTAAAGTGGTTGCTTCTAAGAAGGGAAACTGGCAGCTAGGGGACTGAGGTAGGAAGGAGTCTTCTCATTGTGTACCCCTTTTTGACTTCTCTATCGTGTGCTAGAGGGGAAGTTTTGGATATAAAAAGGAAAAGGAAAGCAGAAAAGAAAACACTGAGCTAAAGAGACTGATTTAGTTTATGACAGGAAGATTATAATTTTTTCTGTATACAGGCATACATATATTGTCTGGGAGTTAAAAGTGAATTTGCTACACTTAAGCCTAAACCTTTGAAATGTTTTATCAATCCATAATTCTTTATTAAACCAGGAAGCACATCCTTATACTATTTTAGTTTATATGCTCATAAATTGTTATATACTATCTTCAACTAGATTGTAAATTCCTTCATGGCATCAATGCTATCTTATATTCCCTCCATTATGTCCTAAGCATATAGCAGGTACTCAAATATTTGGCTATTTGCACTTCCCCATTCATTCTCTGGATTAATGACCCAAATAAATGAGGAAAGATCCTGGAAGTAGTCTAGTAGAAAGTACTTAAAAGGTACAATCAGGAATTGATAGATGAATGAATTGGCAGTCGTAGAGTAGAAGTGGTAGGTTTATGGGAGTTTACAGTTTTTTTCAATTTTTCTATACATTTGAAATAAAATATTGGGGGAAAGGTAATCACAAGGGAGAAAAAGTCATCAGTCTGCTAAAGTTCTGGCCCAGCTGTGACATTAATTTGCTAGATCTATGGGTAGCATTTCCGAGCCTATCTACAAAAAGAAGACTGGACTAGAATTTCTGCTTCTCAAACCAGGGTATAGCATACCATTAGAGGTGTGCAGAAACATGGTACATTTAAAATTAACTGCAACTATGGGGACATTATTAATTAAAATAAAATGAATTTTTAAGAAAAAAATTGAGCCTTAAAATTTTTTGTTTTGTTTGAAGCAGCCTCCAAAATTTTCTTTTGCTGTTCTCTCCAGAGTTAAGCTAAAAAAAAGTCTTAGTCTAGAAGAATTTCAGGAGTGAGGCCCAAGGAAAAAGCACCAGCCTTTGGAATCAGACAAACCTGGACTTGAATACCTACTGTTACTAGCTCTGTGATCCTGTCCAAGCGTTCAACTATTTCTTCATCCATATAGGTGAAATACATAACTAATATGTAAAATGCCCAGCAGAGAAATTCTAGTTAAACATGGGCTTCAGAAATTCCATGTTTATGTCTGCTTACTCGTGAAACCCCATTAAAATGACAGGAAAGGGAAAAGAAGAGAAAATTACAAGGACAATAAAAGTATCAGTATGTCATTAAAATCACTTCTTGGTCTTTTGGCTAAGATGGAGTGCAGAATGTCTAGATTTTCAGCAATGACAATGAAGCAAAGCCTTCAAGTCTGAGAAATTGATATACAAATGGAAATTCTATAAATAGTTAAACAGGCTAGTATAAGGGTTGAATAAAGATATTTTCAAACACAAAGTCTTAAAATTTTTGCCTCCCAGGAAAACTAGTGAAGTCTGTATTTCATAAAAAGGAGAGTAAACCAAGAGGGTTACCCCAGAGGGGTTTCCTCTTAGGAAACTGCAGGGCAATAGCTGTACAGCAAACCTAGAGGGCAGCCAAGACAAACTGGAATGGGAACACAGGACTCCAGCAGGGACATCTCTCATAAAAAGACTATCTCATATGTTTACATATATTAGGAATGAATCAGTGAGAGGTACATAGAAAAAAATAAATTTTTAAACTATCAGTAACTCCAAAGAAAATTAAAAGGTACATAAGTAAATGTAATCATAGCACACAACATAGCTCAGCTGCGAATAGTATTTACAATCACAAGGTAATCTAGAATTATGACAAAACTATTGAGAGAATTAAGTAGGGGACATTGTGAAACAGGCTATAAGGGAGCTAATCTTCCCATAAGCATATTAGAAACATGAATGTAAATATCAGAAAAAAGCTAAGAGTTGAAAATGGTCACCTCTGGGAAGTGGGAATTTTTATAAGCCTTGACTTTTTAAATTATGGTCATGTGCAACAGATAAAAATAAAATTTGAAATAAAGTACCTATCACAATGTCTGTCATAAAGTGGGATTTAATACAAGAGTAGACAATTCCTCTACCTCCACACCACTGCTGCCCCATTTCTTGCATTCAGAAATGTAGATGATTTGATCCCTTCAAGAGTGTTCTCACCCTAACAAAGAATGACAGGAAAAAAATCCCAGTTTCAATGGATACTTTTATTATTTATTTAATAGATCACGAACTTCATCTCCCTCTCTCCCTACAATTTGAATTTCATCTTGTTTCCATGCTGAGTAGTGAAACAATGACAAAGCTAGCCAGAATAAGCTATTCTAAAAAGAGAACTAAGCTAACAGCTCACTTTCTTTTAACAGGCAAAATATAAATACATGCACTCTTGAATGCACAATGGTTTAGTTACTAAGAAATTCAAATGGCATCTTGAAGAATGTAGGCAAATCCAGGGTGCAGTAAAGATGAGCTGAGATGCTGTGCAACTGCTTAAGGGTTCCTAATGCTGCATCTCTTGGCCACTAGCTGAATCCTGACATGGGGGAAGATTTTAGCTAATACCAAGTGGAGATGTGGAAAGCGCTAAATTGACTCACAGGATGTGCACAGGAACCAAAAGGCAGAAAGTACTAAACATTGCTGAGAGCATCCACCCCAGGAAGGACTTTACCTGTTTTAGAGAGAGCGCACACAGAGACAGCATTACTATAGGATCCACTAAGCCAGATTCACCACCTTCTATCTTCTCTGTAACAGGTCTGCTCTTTAGGATATATGGCCAGGAGTTGGGAAACATTTACATTTTGGGTCCCAGGTCCATTAGAGTGTAACATCTTTGAGAGTAAGTTTTCCTATCTGCCCCTCCCCACCTCAAATGGAATGCCAGGAGCTTTATTTAAAGTTCCTCCATTTGTACTGCCCAGCTAAAAATGACTGCTAATGACAACACTACCTACTATCTCCACTGCATTCTACCCACCTCTAACTGCATAACCCCTATCCTTCCCCCAAACAAGCCAAAAAACAGGAAAGAACCTCACCTTCCAGGAGCTCTAAACTGGCACCACCCCCAGTGCTCACATGGCTGACTTTATCTTCTGTATTCCATTTGGCACAGCAAGTGGCAGTGTCTCCACCACCTGTTGAATGAATAGCCAAGTAAAAAGGGAAAGGAGAGAAAAGAAAAAAAGAAAAAAGACTGGCACCCAAACTATAAGACATTGCACTCTCAAGCCCAAATGGTAGCTGATGAACCCCCAATTCCATCTCATTAAGATGCTCCTCCATGAATTATATGCCCATTTAGCTCTCAAGATGCAACCAGTGTCAAGAAACCTAAGAAAAATTACCCATTTCCCTTCTACTTTCCTCTGATAAGAATTCTGCCAGCTCACACTGGAATTAGCTTTGTACAGGACCCCTTACCTATGATGGTGATGCAGCCCCTAGAAGTGGCTTTCACCACTTCATCCATGAGGGCTTTGGTCCCTCGGGCAAAAGCTTCCCATTCAAATACGCCCACAGGTCCATTCCACACAATCTGCTTAGCCCTGGCGACAGCCTCAGCGTACTTCTTGCTGCTCTCAGGACCACAGTCCAAGCCCTATAGGGTAGAGTTAAAAGAGAGGATGAGCTACCAAGAAAAGCTACTTAGAGAAGCAAATACCACCTCCACCAAGACCAGAATTAAGGCTGAACACCAACACCAGAGTTTCTTCTAAAACCAAGATACCCTTCAGTCTTTTAAAAGTATAAACCTGTTCATGCCCTTTATAGAAGATCAAGTCTAAGGGAAAACCTCAAGTTATTTGATTACAACATTCTTAGCCACACTATTATGATTGTAAAAAACTAAATCTGTGGTTTTCAACCAGGGTCAATTCTGCCCCTCCTCAGGGAACATGTGGCAATGTCGAGACATTTTTGGTTGTCACAACTTGTGGAGGGTGTTGCCACTAGCACCTAGTAGCCAAAGATGCCTTAAACATCCTACAATGCAACAGCAGCCCTCCACAACACAGCAAAAACTACCTGGGATGTCAACAGTGCTGAAGTTGAGAAACAAAGAACTAGATCAGAGCTTCTCAAACTTTGGTGTGCATCACAATCACCAGGAGGGCTAGTTTGAGCACAAATTGCTAGGCTTCATCCCCAGTTTCTGATTCAGTAGGTCTAGGATGGGCCCAAGGAACTTGCATGTTTTAACAAATTCCAAAGTGATGCATATGCTGCTGTCCTTGGGACCACACTATGAGAAACACTGAACTAAATAAAACCCACATTCCTAACAAAAGGAAAACTATTAAGCAAACTAGTATGTCAACATGATACAATTTTATTCAGCTATTAAAATGATGTAGAGAACACAACAATCAAATATTTAGTCTTTAATATACACATACATACACATATACTGATACAAAGTATCAGTACACTTTTACTATCTTAATGTTTTCAAAGAACGATTTCTTATACATGCTTTAGGTAGCAACATAATCCAGAACAGCCTAAACCAAGAAAGTATACTGCATTTGTCCCTAGCACATAGTTAATTTTAATTTAGAATAAACGAAAAAAAATTGTTTTGTCCCCACATTACTGATGAACACAGCAGCAATCTGATACCACTGCTTTCGCTCATAGATTCTCCTCCAAGGAGGGCCTCAGTACATTTGGAGCGCTCTCTGACAGAGATTTCTTATAGAGATTCTTTTAAAATGCTTGTTGGTTGGTTAAATGAATGATACCAAAATGTTTTTGTTAACTCATACTACCAACCACTCAAGTGACTCACCATCCAGCCAGCAAGTATGCCAGAAGCTACAGTGGCTTGGCCAGTCTTGGCATTCTCATCAAACTTGTCAGCAGTAACAAAGTCAACAGGCAAGGTAATCTTCACACCATTCTTCTCAGCTTTGGACATCAGGTCTTTAACAATCTTGGCTCCCTCTTCATCAAACAGAGAAGTACCAATCTACATAGGGGACCAAGATGATGAAGATCAGCCTCTATACGAAGAACATGATTACCTCACAAAGCAGACAGAAATAAGATACAACATAAAGTAACAATTCCAAGACAAAAGAAAAACAACTTGTCAAAATAAATAAGAATGGAAGTTTTTAGGGTTCATGTCAGAAGCTGGTTTTTTAAATTTACATAAATTGTTATTTCTCATGGAGAGCTATTTCAAATCCACCTGGCACTGGTTTCCTACCTCCATGTTGTTGAGCACCTTAAGGAAGGTAAAAGCCATTCCACCACCAATAATCATCTCATTGACTTTGTCCAGCATGTTATTGATCAGTTGGATCTTGTCTGCAACTTTTGCTCTAGAAGAAAAAGCAAGAATCATCACCAAACTAACAATGAATTAAGGAAGTGCTATTACACAGAGTCAGAGTTTTTATTTCAAGGCACAAGAACAAAGAAATGCCCCCACAAAGTGACAAAAGTATTGATTAACTTTGCCCTATACTTCTCCAATCCAAAAGACCAATCCATTTCTAAGAAATCCTTTTAAAGGCAGCGGTTCCCAACCTTTTTGGCACCAGGTGCCAGTGCTCCTATGAGAATCTAATGCCTGATAATCTGAGGTGGAGCTGAGGTGGTGATCCTAGTGCTGAGGAGCAGCTACAAATACAGATGAAGCTTCGCTCGCTCACCCGCCACTCACCTCCTGCTGTGTGGCCTGGTTCCTAACAGGCCACTGATTGGTAATGGTCCGTGGCCTGAAGTTTGGGGACCCCTATTTTCAGGTATAGCTCTAGACCAAGAAGGGCTAAGAAGGCCTACTATAAAGGAAAAATGAGTTCCAAATAGGCCTCTTTTGCTCCCCCCACCAAAATAAAAATCAGAGAGTCAAGATTGTTAATTATACCTAAGTAAGATTGCTAATTGTGGGATTCCCTGAGCCCACTCAGAACTGTCTTACCCCTACAGCAGGGATCACATTATATATCAAACGAATATATACTGAGCAAAAATCGACAGATATTCACACTCTTAAGTCTATGCTCAGTGGCTGGGACATTTGTTTTATGGCATTCATTATTCTATTGGATCACTTGATTCAACACATTTATTGAGCACCTACTCTGTGCCAAGCACTATTCTAGGTCTCTGAGAAACAAAGTGGCAAAAACAAAAGATCCCTACCTCTTTGGAGCTTATATTCTAGTAGAGGGAAATAAGACAATAAATACACATATCCTTTCACCTCCCTGTGAGAGAAAAAAAGAAACTAAAGAAAAACCAATTCGCTTGAAGCACAGCCTTTAAAATCTCCCACATAGGGGTTCCCTGCCCCATAGGGCCCTTTTGAATTTTGTTCTCTGGGAGAAAAATCATCAAGAAGGGCTGCATGATGTTTGCCCAAAATTTATTTTATAAGAAAAACTTTTTTGGTTAAAAAAAGAAAGGAATAAAGGTATGTAAGGGAAATAAAATAAAATATAATAAAATAAAATCCCCCACGTAAGTAAATAGCTTGTCTTCCTTATACATTCTGATATATCAAAATCCCACTTAAATGAACAAATCACCTTGGGCCTGTTTCCCTCTTCATTCAATAAACAAGATGATGTGTCAGTGATAGGCCCTATGCTAGGATTTGTGAAATGAAGGTTCAAAATAATAGTGATGTGGGAGAATGGATGACAAGAGACTGCTTATCTGACTTATAAAGGCTGGTTATCACAAAGGATAAGACTGCATTAACTGTTATATACACACATGCACACACACACATACACGGGGTAGGGGTGAAGAGGAAATAAGTAAAAAAGAAGAAAGAGACTCAACCGCTTCTAAAGAATGTGAAATAGTCTATAGCTCAAATTCCCTACTTCTTCAATGTTGATAGAATGAAAACTAAGGAAGAGGGGACTATTATAGAATGATACTTGACAACCAAATGCAATGCATGGACTTCGTTTAGATCCTTAAACAAACCAACTGTAAAAAGACATTTCTGAGATGATCAAGAACTTCTGAGTGCAGACTAGGTATTTTAAATGAAACTTAAATTTTGTTAGGTATAACATGGTGGTTATTTAAATCTCCTTATTAGTTATGAGATGCATACAGAAGTATTATAAGTGAAATTATATGATATCTAAGGCTTGCTTTAAAATACTCCAGGTAAAAAAAGGATTAGAGGATAGATGAAACAAGATTGGCAAAAATGTCAAAAATTGTTGAAACAACACTCACTTAGTATATGACAAAGGAGGAAAGAATATAAATGGGGTAAAGACAGTATCTTCAATAATTGGCGTTGGGAAAATTGGACAGATACATGCAAAAAAAAAGAAACTGGACCACCTTCTTACACTGTATACAAGAGACTCAAAATGGATTAAAGACTTAAATGTTAAGACCCAAAACCATAAAACTTCTACTTCTAGAAGAAAACATAGGCAGTAAACTCTCTGATATTGCTAACGGTAATTTCTTTTCAGATAAAATCTGAAGGGAAACAAAAGAAAAAATAAACAAACGGGACTACATCAAACTAAAAAGTTTTTGTACAGCAAAGGAAACCATCAACACAAAAAAAAAAAGACAACCGACTGAATGGGAGAAGATAGTCTCTAATGATACATCTGATAAGAGGTTAATATCCAAAATATATAAAGAACTCATACAACTCAACAACAAAAAAAAAACAATCGAATTAAAAAATGGGCAGAGGACCTGCACAGATATTTCTCCAAAGAGGAAATACAGATGGCCAACAGACATATGAAAAGATGCTCAAGGTCACTAATCACCAGAAAAGTGCAAATTAAAACCACAATGAGATATCACCTCACACCTGTCAGAATGGCTATCATCAATAAATCAAAGAACAGCAAGTGTGTTAGAGGACGGGGAGAAAAGCGAACCTTCATACACTGTTGTTGGGACTGCAAATTGGTACTATGGAAATTGGTACTAAGTCCGGAGGTTTCTCAAAAAATTAAAAATGGATATACCTTTGACCCAGCAAAAGGTATTTATCCAGGGAAAACCAAAACAATAATTCGTAAAGATCTACACACTCCAATATTCATGGCAGCACAATTTACAATAGCCAAGATATGGAAGCAATCTAAATGCCCATCAACAGATAACTGGATAAAGAAGTTATGGTTCATATATACAATGGAATATTACTCAGCCATTAATATTTGCACTGACATGGATGGACCTAGAGGTTATTATGCTGAGTGAAATAAGTCAGACAGAGAAAGATAAATACCATATGATTTCACTTATATGCAGAATCTAAGGAACAAAAATAACAACCTAATCGAAAACAGACTCACAAATACAGAGGACAATCTGGTGACAGCCAAAGGGGAGAGGGGTTGAGGGGCTGGGAGAATGGGGTGCAGGGTTAAAGAAGTACAAATTAGTCATTGATAGATGGTCACAGGGATGGGGAGCACAGCAAAGGGATTGCAGTTAACATTAATGTGTTGGCTAGGAGGAGAGCCAGAGAAGAGAAAGAGCAATTAGTTTTATAAACTATATAAATGTCTGACCAATGTACTGTATACTTGAAACTAATACAATAAAATTTTAAAAAATAAAAAATAAAAAATTGTTGAAACAAGGTGATAGGTACCTGAGGGTTTATTATACTGTTCTCTCAACTTCTGTGTATATTTGTTTCTACAATAGTTTTTCATAAAATGTAAAACTTTCCCCAAAATTGTTAATGGTCTAAGGAGACTACACTGCAAGAAAGAGCAAAAAAATCCTCCACACATCAACTGTCCTAAAACATCTACTTGGGACTGAGTCTAAAACCTAATCATAACCACTAGGTGGCACTCACTTCCATACTCCAGGTCTACAGAAGGCTGGAGAAAAAGGTCAGACAGCTCATAACATCTCCAGTGAAGCAAGGATCAGTCTGACCTTTATAACACAGTGTACAAGAGAGGCAATGCTTCGAGGACACAGATAACCTGTACCCACCTGATTTTTAGGACCCTGAAACTGGGCTCATAAAGCCTAGAGCAACTATGCTACCTGAAATTAATACCCAACTCCAGAGTCAGCTTTCATGGGGAAATGATGAATGAGTTCAGTCTCATGGCGGGGGGGAGGGCTGGGAGGGATGGGAAACCCTGCTCATAGAAGGTCAGAGACATCCAGCCATAAAGAGGCTACTACCTAGGATAGCCATGCCAAGTGACAGGAAGTTATCTTTTCCAAGCAGTCCCAGGTCCCTGTCCCCACTCTATCACCTAGAATTTATCCTCCTAGCCTCTTGACCCAACAATTCTAAAATTTCTGTTTTTAACCAAGCCATTAGAATATTATTATCCACATGGTACCTTTACCCACAGGGCAAAATATAAAATGGTATGTGATCTGGAGAAATGAGTTCTAAAAGATATATTAAACATACATGAAGAGATTTTCAGTTATTCCTTGCCAGATTGTACGTATTATGAAAGGTTCAAATGCTTCGTTAATTTTTAGATGAGCACCTATGGTGGATCTTTCCCATTCTTCCCTCCAGAACCACCTTCTATCCTTGGCTCTGTTCTCTGTCCCAGGAGACTGACCTGCATGGACTGCATCAAGGAAACACCTTAACCCTCTGGCTTACAGCCAACTGAGGGTGGGAGGGAGTAAATTAGGAGGAGATTGAAAAGATATCAGAATATTTATGTTCTCGGCCCCCTCCCTGCCATATGACTATCCATATGTCCCTTGACCAAAGGCTATAGTTCCTATCAGAGGGGCCCCTTCCAAACAACTACCCTCTCTGGATTCTAATAACTATTCCCTCCCTTTGTTTCTTCAGGCCTACAGATGGTGATGGTGATGGCTGTTGCTAGCCCCGGATTACTGTACTGTCCTTTTTGAGTTTCCCTAAAAGCTACCTTTGGTAGATAGTCGCTTTATTAAATTATCCTCAGATACCCAGTTTGATTGTGCTGTCTGACAATAAACTGCCCAAGTTATGGCCTACTACCAGGCAAACACATTACTGAAAGCATGATCTTGAAGAGTTCTTCATACCCGCCCAGGATGGCCAGGAAGGGTCGCTCTGGGTTTTCCAAGGCTTTGGCAAAGTAGTTCAGTTCCTTCTTCATCAAAAAACCTCCAGCTTTCTGTGGCAGACTAACTCCTACCATGGAGCTAAAAAAGACCAGAGACATTCAAACTTTAGTCAATCGCTACCAATTCTCCCAATTCTAGAGGCCATCTTCTTATCACTGAAATACTTTAACTTCGGAGATTCTGAGAGACTATGGTTTTCATCCCTAAACTGCAAAAAAAAAAAAAAAAAAACAGGTACATAATAAGATTTTTGACTAACAGTGCAAGGTCAAGGGGTACAAGTAAAAAGCAATGACCTTAAGTAGAATTTAATATACCCAATTATTAGTCTTCAGGCCAAAGGTTTAATCCCAATACATAATCAGCCAGTTGATGACAACAGAAGAGTCCTCAATTTGCTTCCTACTGACAGCATAAGATTCTGATCCCACAATGTTCACAAAGGGTTAGCTTTATATGAAATATCAAAAGTGAGAAAGAGCAACTACTTATTTAAGCTTGACAAAAAGCTCCACAATTCTCAGCATTTTTTACTTTTATTTCCTCTTCGGATCAGGAATACTTAAACAAGAGCCACAGTCTAACCAGTAGCTCCAATTGGAGATAGAAGCCTACAGGATCACAGTGTAATACAGAAATCTCCAAAATAAAACCAGAGCTTGAGCTGCTCTAGTAAACAGGAATACTGCTTCCAGCTTGACATCAAACAAGACTCTTAGTACCTGTGGGCTCGATGAGCAGTGCCAAAAGCATCATTGACATAGACATCCCCTAATTTGGAAAGTGAAGCTCGGAAGGCTTCTATTTTAGCTGGCTCAGCTTTAACCTGCAGAGAAAAATAAAAAATGAGAAAACCAACGACTGGAAATGTTGATGGCTGCAAAGACAACTGCAAAAGGATTTCATATCAAGAGTCCACTTAAATATTTCTAAAGACCCTGAGTTGGTGGGACATCAATTTTTACAATTAGCAACAGTACCTGTTCTTCCTTCCAAATATTCCAGGTCTTTTGGTCATTTCTGCATGTTTCTGCTCTCCTTCGCCTTCCCTCATATTGCAAACCTAAGGTTCCTGAACAATGGCTTAACCTCTAATCACACGAAGCTAACGACATCCATTTGACCTCTCCCCAGCTCCTAGGACAAGATTCTAATTATTCTTCCCTCTCCTTATCTTGACTCATATCCTCATTTTAACATATTCTCCTTGTAAAAGTTCAGATTATACTTGACTCAAAATGCTGGTTAACAAGGCCTTTCTGCAAAGGCATAGAGGTCCTCACACATATTCTTCATGAAAACAAGGACAGGCTGGAACACAAAAGACAGATGGAAACATGACAAGATAGGACCCCAGAAACATTTTATATTGATTAAAAGGAGGCATTTTATATGGCCTTCCCTGAAGTTAGGAATCTGAGAAAACAGAAATACACTTCTATAAAAAGAGAGAGAGGAACAAAAAGTAGAAGACAAGGATTTGAAATGTCAGCTCACTATCCAGAGATTCCCCCAAAAAGAGACAGAAGGCAGGATGGCAGGATGAACAAAGAGTCTCCAGTAGGAGACTAAGTGAAAAAGCACAGGAAGACAGATTAACAGAGACATAGCACAGAAGAGTATATAGCACAGAGCAGATGTTCATGTTAGCCACTGCCCACTCCCATCCTCCTAAAGTATCAAGATGAAGGCAACTGCCACAAAGAACAGGGGCTTTCCTCTAATGACCCAAAGAACGCAGGGGCACTAAAACTAAAGACTGCAGAGCCTCCATAATCTCCCTAGAATAGAATAACATATGCCACTGGTAACTGGAAGATGAGTGATATAGTAATGAAAACATTGTCTGAATGGCAGGAGACCTGGGTTCTAGGCCTAGCTCTGACACTAATTCACCATGTAACCTTTGGCAAATTGCTCTCTATCCCATATATTAAAAAGGAATAATAACCTCTCTATTTGTAAACTGTTTTTAGGGACTTCCAGTCAAGATGGCATAGATGGTAGACGCTGTGTTTGCCTCCTCTCACAACCACATCAAAATTACAACTACAGAACATCCATCATTGAGAGTCGCCTTAGGTCTGGCTGAACAGAAGTCCTTCAACGGGGGACATGCATGAGAAGCCACTTTGAAACTGGTAGGAGAGGCAGAGACACGAAACGGGCCAGTCCCACAACTGCGTGAGACAGTTGAGAATTGGGAGAAGTATCTTGGCTGCAGAGATCCCCTCGGCAGGGCGAGGGGTCTCGGCTCCATACCAGGCTCCCCAGCCCAGGGCTCCAGTGTCAGGAAGGGAAGTCTCCACAACTTCTGGCTGTGAAAACCAGAGGAGATTGTGGCTGAGTGAGACAGAGGGCTGGAAGAGTCAAACGTTCTTTTTAAAGGGCCCGTAGCAGACTTACTTGGTGACTGACTCACTTGCTCTGAGCTCCAGCCTGGGACAGCAGCTCAAAAGGCATCACAGATTTGGGCCATTGTTCCTTTGTTGAGCCCTCCCTGCACCCAGGTTACAGATTCAGGTAGCCGCCATACCTGTGCGTCTCTATCAACCTGGCTGACATAGGTTGTCCCACCTAGGTAATTCCCTGAGATCCAGTCACTCCCAATTTGCGGACCTACTCAAGCTGCCTCCAGTGGGTTTTTTTCCATACAAATGGCCTGTCTTGGTTCATGCTGTAGACTTTTCTTAAATCTCACAAAGGTTCACAAAACCCAAAGAAGCAGCATCTGACCTTGATGTGCCCCATACCTCTTGCTGAGCAGTCCTGAGCCCAGAATTAGCAGCACCTAGCCACAGTTCTTGGCTTGGCCTCTCAAGGCCCCACTAAGCATAGCATGGGTGGCATCCATCTGCATATTACTTGGTGACTCTTGCCAGGTGGCCCAGGAGGTGCATAAGCTGCAGCTGACCTTGGCCTGCAGCTGGGTCCCTCCCAGGAGGCCCTTGGGCCAGCATGCCCAGTGGCCTGCTTCTATTACAGCAGGAGCCTGAGCACCATCCAGGGCTGCATCTGAGGAAGACACAACCAAAAGGCAGACTGGACAGGCACCAGAGTTCTGCTAAAGTTAATCATACTCCATCAGGTCGGCCCCTACCCAGCCAGGCCTCACAACCAATTAACTCAAAGGTCCCATCGAGGTGCAAACAGCAAACAAGGCTCAACTACAACAGGAGGGCACATACAACCATACAAGGGACACACTTTGAGTACCTACTTGGCTCAGGTGACCAGGAAAGACTGCACCACTGGGCCCCAAAGGATACATACTACATAAAGCCACTCTATTTAGACCAGGAGACTTAGGAGCCCTACCTAATACATAGAAACACAGGGAGACAGCCAAATTGGGGAGACAAAGAAACATGTCCCAAATGAAAGAATAGAACAAAGCTCCAGAGAAATAACTAAACAAAATGGAGACAAGCAATCTACCAGATGCAGAGTTCAAAACACTGGTTATAAGGATGCTCAATGAACTGTTTACTCAAACACTGGTTATAAGGATGCTCAAGAGTAAGAGTATGTGAACTCAGTGAGAACTTTAACAAAGATATAAAACATAGAAATGGAGATAGAAAACATAAAAAAGAATGTCAGAAATGAAGAATATAATAACTGAAATGAATAATACATTAGAGAGAATCAACAGTTTAGATGACGCAGAGGATCAAATCAGTGATTTAGAAAACAAGGTAGCAGAAAACACCCAGTCAGAACAGCATCAAGAAAAAAGAATGCCTCTCCCCTCAAAAAGTAAGGATAGTCCAAGGGGCCTCTGGGACAACATCAAGCATAACAACATTCGCATAATAGGGGTACCAAAAGAACAAGAGATTGAAAACCTATTTAAAGAAATAATGACAGAAAACTTCCCTAACCTGGCAAAGGAAGTAGACATACAACCCCAGGAAGCGCAGAGAGTCCCAAACAAGGTGAACGTGAACAAGCTCACACCATGATGCATCATAATTAAAATGCCAAACATTAAAGACAAAGAGGGAATCTTAAAAGCAGCTAGAGAAAGGCAGTTAGTTACATACAAGGGAGCTCCCATAGACTGTCAGCTAATTTCTCAACAGAACTTTGCAGGCCAGAAGGGAATGACACGAAATATTCAAAGTGATGAAAAGGAAGGACCTACAACCAGGTTACTCTATCCAGCAAAGCTATCATTTAAAATTGCAGGACAGATTAAGAGCTTCCTGGAAGGCTAAGGGAATTCATCAACACCAAACCAATATCACATGAAATGTTGGAAGGACTTCTTTAAGAAGAAAAAAATATGTATCAAAAATATGAATAATAAAATGTCAATAACTACATAGCTATTAACAAGTACTTCAAAAGAAAAAAAATTAAATATTCCAATCAAAAGATAGGGTGGCCGAATAGATGAGAAAACAAGACCCTTCCATATATGGTGCCTACAAGAGACTCACTTCAGATCAATGACACACACAGACTGAAAGGGATGAAAAAAGAAAAAAGATGTTTCATGAAAATGAGAATGAAAACAAGAATCTGGGGTAGCAATACTTATAGCAGACAAAATAGACTTTAAAACAAAGGCTATAACAAAAGACAAAGAAGGACCCAGTAACCCCACTTCCAGGTATTTATCCAAAGAGACCCAAAATACTGCTTTGAAGGAACATGTGCATCCATATGTTCACTGCATTATCTATAATAGCCAAGATATGGAGGTAACCTGGGTGTCCATCAGTGGATGAATGAATAAAGAAGACGGGGTAAACATATATAATGGAAGATTACCCAGCCATAAAAAAAGAATGAAATCTTGCCATCTGCAACAACATGGATGGACCTAGAAAGTATTGTGCTGAGTAGAATAAGTCAGACAGAGAAAGACAAATGACATATCATTTCATTTACATGTGGAATCTAAGGAACAAAATAAGCAGACAGGAACAAACAGATACAGAGAACATTTTGAGAATTGCCACATGGGAGGGAAGTTAGGGGGTGAGTGAAAGGGGGAAGGGATTAAGAAGTACAAAATGGTAGTTATAAAATAGTCATGGAGATGTAAAGTACAGCATAGGGACTATAGTCAATAATATTGTAATAACTATATATGGTGTCAGATGGGCACTAGATATTGGTACTAAATTTATTGGTTGATCACTTCATAAGTTATGTAAATGTCTAATCACTATGCTGTATACCTGAAACTAATATGTTGTATGTCAACTATAATTGAAAAATAAAAAATATTTTAAAAAATAACTATTTGAGGAAAAATGGCAAATTGAAAGCTATTCATGAAAAAAAAGGTGCTATAGAAATAATGATAATAATAAAATCCCATTTCTCATTTTTGGTCTGCTAATAACTAGAAGGAAAAGAATGCTCCTAAAAACCAATGCGGGCACACTGAATAAAGGAAACATTTTATGTTCTTTTTTAATCCATTTTAAACTCATAATTGGCTCCTAAAATTTCAAGCATTGAAATGAAAGTCATTGCAGACTAAATGTAAAGTTAACTAAAACTGTCATAGACTAGCATAGTTGGTTCATCACTTCCTGAATAAAACGTTTTGCCTCAATTTGCCGGTTGCCTCCTGCCATTTCTAAGCCCTAGAGTCTGTGCTTGAGTTTCAGTCTAAAAGGGCACCAAATTTTAGGTCAGCATGAGACTCCTACTACTATAGCAAGACCATGCCAAAGGCAAAATAAGGCAAGACTAGGGCCTACAGTGCTATGAAAAGAAACTGTTTGAAAGGAGGCACTCCAACAATCTTAAGAAATGTCAGAAGTACAACAGGAGATTGAGACACTAGCCACCGAGCATCTTGTTCCCCAAGACACTACAGACCTTAAAAATGGAAAGTACTCAAAGGGTGCCTTACACTTCGCTTCTACCAACAAGGCAAATTCCAAATCATCCTCAAAGACCCAGCTTTATCGCTTAATATTTGAATTCTGGTTGTCAGGTCATAATAATCTGTTTTGTAGCTTATCTATGGTTGGTTTTTGAAAGTTTCTCTTTGGATTTTTAATTTTTTTTTTTCCCTATGGCTGCTTTTGCATGACAATGGCAGACCATATATGGTTGTGACTGACTGTGTGGCCTGCAAAGCCTAAAATGTTTATTGTCTGGCTTTTTACCAAAAAAAAAAAAAAAAAAGTTCTTATCTAATGGACTAAGCTATATGTAAAGGCCAGTAACAGAACCACTGCCCTCTAACTTTAGTCAGACAGCTTTTCTGAGACTTATTTTCTTCATGAAATGATGATACTTGTACTTCCTTATCTTAAAGAGAAATTCAAAAAATGCTTTACACTTTTAAGAAAAATGCCTTAAATCCAAGGCAATATCATCGTGACCATCATTTACCCAACTATAATCAATTGTCCCAAATAGTCCCTTTCCGCTTGACTTAGGAAAGTACTTTTACTGATCACATAAGAAAACCCATATTATACCAAATTTAATTGACTGTTTTAAAAATACCATGCTTGAGCCTTTAATTCCCCCTTCTAAATAAGAAAACAGATTGTCCTTCCATAATACACTAGGGCCTATTGCTTATAAAGTGTTCCAGCCTTGACACAAAATCTAAAACTGACCCTGCTGGAGGAACACCTGGTGTAGCATGGACATTCACCTCCACAACCACATGTGAATGTCTGATCTCAGCACTTGGGAATCAGCCTATTCTTCAATAGGTTATCACATACTGTCAGAAAAAAAATTCTCATGTATCACAGGCCAAGTGTGTAACAAAGGGACAATTAGAAGTAGCATGTTCACTGAATACTCTTACATTCAAATGGTGTTCACATATTTTTTTCAAAGATATTTCAAAACCACTTGAACATGAAGAAGGCTTTTGAGATGCTGGCAATATTCTATTCCTTGACCTAGATTATGGTTACACAGGTGTGTTTACTTTGTGATCATTCATCAAGCAATGTATTTGTGCATTTTTATATGCATGTTATACTTCAATAAAAAGATGTGTAAGGAAAAATAAACATGAGCTTCCTGTATTCTTCAATCAAAGGCTTATAGACTCAACCATCCTCACTCCCACTAATGTCAAAAATCACAGGTCCTACCTTGTTCCCAGAAGAATCTTTTCCCTTCCCTTCTTCTTCCACATGAAAGCGAAGGTTCTCCAGCAGGATGACAGACCCAGCAGCTGGGTCAGCACAAGCTTTCTCCACTTCGGGGCCTACACAGTCCTTCAAGAACAAAACATCCCTGGGGAGAGGACAAGATGGAGACTCTTGGGCAGTCTGAAAGTTAAGAACCAAAATGCCTAAAAACATCTCCTATCACAGATTCCACCAGCACCAGAGCCTGGCACTTACTTGCCCAGCAGAGATTTGAGTTCTGCAGCAACTGGCTCCAAGGAGTACTTGTCAGGCATGGGAACACCATCAGGGCGGCCCAAGTGGCTCATAAGAACAACTGACTTGGCTCCATTGTCCAAGCAGAATTTGATACTTGGGATGGCAGCCTTAATCCTGCAACCAAAAAGAGACAACAATTAGAGCAAGGTTACTCCTAGGAATTAGTGGAAAATATTCTATTCGTGGCCTCATAAAACATAAAGCTCCTTTTCTTTAAATTCTTTCAAATCTACTTTCGGCTCAATGATGGTCCTTAGGTTCATGTTCAGGGGAAGAAGTAAATTACGATACCAACTCTCCCTAGGATTGTACATTCTCCTGTTTTGCCCCCTGTGCAGAAAAGCTATCTTTAGAAGAAACTGCTTGCAAGGTTGATCCTTGGCTGGTGTCTAGAATTTGGCTTTCAAAGTGGTCTTTCAGTTCTTTAACTGACAAGAGCCATTCACTGTTCCTAGACTGTCTGTACAAACAAGGTGATTTATGCTGAACACCTACTTCCTTCTGGGAGTCTGCAATTTTGGTAGTTGCTAGATAGAGGGTACCTACGTGACCAGTTCCCAATAAGAATCTTAGGGGCCAAGGTTCTAATGGGTTTTTCTAGGCAGAAACATTGCACACAATTATTGCATTTTTTCATTGCTGGAGAAACGAGCACATTCAGTGTGTTCCCTCACAGGAAACATAGAGCATCAGAAACCCATGCATGGATTTCTCCAGATTCTGCCTGTGTCTTTTCCCCCTTGCTGATCCTGTCATACATCCTTTCGCTGTAATAAACTTTAGCAGTGAGAACTATATAATGAGTCCTATGAGTCCTTCTAGCAAATCACCAAACATATGGATGGTCTTGGGGATGCCAAAAAAAAAAAAAAAAAAAATTTGACTCTGGAATATAAAATTCCTAAATCTTGAAAACATTAAAGGAAATTTAGAGAGAACTGTAATAACTTTTCTGCACCCATTACAGATCCTAAGTAGGAAAAAATATATTCATTATACAGAATGTGGTTTGCATAATGCATCGTCTTTATTACATTATAGTTTAACCAAAAAAATAATTAAACTTCCTTTACATATTTCAAATTGCTGTTACGAACCTGCTACTAACTTCCCGTTTTTTGTCAGTCTTTAAGAAATTAAAATTGATAAGAAAATCATTTATTTATTCAACAAATATTTATTGAATGCTTCTTTTGTACCAGGTACTGTTCCAGATTCCCAGAATACAATCGTAAATAAAAGTTTCTGCTTTCGTGGAAGTGAAATTCTAATGACAGGAGAAATAACAATAAACAAATAAACAAAATATATATCTATCTCAGATGGTACTAAGAGCTATGGAGAAAATAAAGCAAGGTAGGGGGACAAGAATGATTGGGGAATAGTGGTGGAGGGGATTTTAGATAGGGTAGCCAGGGAAAGTCTCTCTGATAAGATGACATTTCAGCAGAGTACCAAGTAATAAAAAACCTGGTTATGTTCCAAATAGCTTATGCTATTTGGCAGATATAACAACTCATTTATACCAAGCAAAGAGGAAATCTTTAACCAGGTACAAAGTTTGCCCAAGGAAGGCAAATTAATCTTCAGGCTATCCCTTATCGGCAAGATCTATTATGTCTAAAGATTTATTTTGTTCATCAACTCGAAGGATTTATGAAAATGAAAAGATCTACTCAGACATGTCTCTCTGCTGTTTATTCATTAAATACCTTGATAGGCATATTTCCAATCTTTTCTGTATGCTGCAGAAAATAATGAAAATCAGAAGGGTCAGAGCTGCCTTGTACAAAGACCTTCCATTATGGTGCACTGGGGATGTGCTTGGCAGATTGCCAGGCTCCATTCCGGGGCCAATATCTGAAAATGTTCTGGGTCTAGACCTGCACTCTACAATACGGTAGCCATCAGCCACATGTGCCTGGTGAATACTAGAAATGTGACTCGCCCAGATTGAGCTCTAAGTGTAAAATATATGCTGGATCTCAAAAATGTCCCATTATTTTATTGATTACATATTGAAATGATTTGTTTGGATTTAATGGATTAAATATATGAAAACTAAGTTCACCCATTTCTTTTTATTTTTTTAATATGGTAACTAGAAAATTTTAAATTATACGTGGCTCATATTATATTGACACTAGACAGCACTGGTCTAGATCACTACAAAGCACCTTCCCAGCTCAAACCCTTCATTTAAAATTTAAAATAAATATCTTCTTTTACAATCTAGTCAAAATCAAGAGCAGTACTATCACTTAAAATTTCTGCTTCTAAATCTAGGAGCCAACGCATTTGAAGCAGCCTAAGCAAACTGAAAATATTACTTCTGAAGTCTTTTCCCTTAAATCAAAAACGTATTTTATCTTGGCCATCTGGAATAGGAGCTTGTAACACTACACGTAGGCTTAATAATTATAGATATTAAAAAATCCTTCTCTTGCAGAGTTCATTTTGCAAGGGAAGCCAAGTTACCTTAATCTTTGACATTCTTAAAAATGCATAACCCCAAATTCTTCAAATTTTCAAAAAACAGGGACAGAAAAAAATTACCTTAATTTTTTCAATTTCTACATTATCATAAGAAAGCAGACCAAGTGGTGGGTTGATGGAAAGCCAAGATCATATGGCTTAAGTTACTGTAGTTCTACAATAAGAGAAAAAAAAACATTCTATCCTATATACCCATACCCACCCACATCTTAAACCTAGCTCCAGGCTTAGCAGGGAACTTACCTCTGGTTATTTGTTATCTGATTGTTCTTCATAGGAACATTGAAGTCCACTCTAAAAAAAAAAAACAAAGTTTCAGGTTCAGGTACAGCACCATTATCAATATATTGTTCCTTCAAAGATTAGAAGAGGTACTTTGAATGAACCAGTTATAAATAAGTTGAAGTTGGAAGTTCAAAACTCACCCTAAAAACAATCCGCAGTATTAGAAATCAAGAGAGTGGTTAGCCATGGGGAGGAGGGAATAAGTACTGACTGGGATAGGACACCAGAGAGAGCTTCTGGGTTTCTGGTAATGTTCTATTTCTTGACCTGGGTGATTGCACAAATGTGTTCATTTTTTGATAATTCTTTGAGCTTATGATATGTGCCTTTTGGGTATGTATCTCATACTTTAAAAGCGAAATTTTTAAAAATAAAAAATAAAACCTAACTTAAATCACAGGAACTAGCCCTGAAGAACTAGGAAGCTAAAACCTGTTCCATCTAAAAAGATTTCTACGTGGGCCTGGCATGATATTATCTGATAAAAGCAGTAGCTGGAGGTGTGAGGGGTAATAAGGAACACATTTTTATTCTGATTCTTTTGATATTATTTCTGGGTCCCAGTGAAACTAACATCACTCAAAAGAAAAAATAACTAGAAAAATAAAACACATAATATACTTTCTGGAAACAGCTGGGGGCCTTGAGACCAGAAAGAAACCTAGTGTCCAAAAACAAGTTTACATAGGATCTTTCTAGCAAAAGAGAAACAACTAAGTCTCTTTCAAAAAGCCTGAGAGGAGTGGAACACATGACTCTGCCCACTAGACAAACAGGCAATTAGAAGGAAGTGATCAGGATGACACAAGCAATAATTTACTCTGTAGTCTCCTTTCTTACCCAGATTACTACTTTACCATTTTTAAGAATCAGTAATTCCTTCCCCCTTCTTCTGAACTCCTTAGAACATCAGCCTACTTCAATCTGACTAAAAATAAACGCGTGTGGTAGTTATTTGTAAGGTCTAAGTTTTGCCTGCCAAGAGCCTTTTAATTAAAGATTTTTATTAAAAGAAGCTAACATACAATATTGTATTAGTTTCAGGTGTATAGCAGTTATTTAACATTTATATACCTAAAGAAATGATCACCATGGTAAGTTGAGCAACCATCTGACACCATACAATGCTATCACAATATTATTGACTCTATTCCCTAAGTTGTACACCATATCCCCGTGACTTGTTTTTAAGTGGTTTCTTTCTATAGCTGTAGAATGTTACTGTAAGAATTAAATGTTAGCGATCTGTAAAATGCTTAGAAGAGTACCTGGTACAGGTACTCTTAATACCATAAAAGTGGTAACTATTATTACATATGTTAATACTGCTCCAAAAACATAATTCTGTGATGTAAAAGGCAAATCAATTATTACTAATATTAATCTAAAAATAAGAGACCTTTCAAAGTGAGAAGTAACAAGCATTTATAGAGTAAATAAGAATAGCCATTCGGAGCTTGCTGATTCAGGCAGAAGCCCAGTGTTCCAAGTAGGAGAAAAAGGCAATGGATACTTAAGAAAGGGAGGGGGAACAATTACATCAATATAAGGAAAGCATTTCTATTGGTACAGATAACATAACAATGATGTTAATTCTAAACAACGTTAATTTTCTTTCCAGTAGTCATCAGTCCATAGTCATAACTGTTTTCTTGCTATCTTTGCAAAGTTTTTTGGGACAAAACGTTGTCCTTGGCCCACGAAGGTTATTTTGCCCTGTTCTAACATTCCAAAGACTTGAAGCATAAAACATGCCAGGCAGTTCCTCTGGCATAGCAGCTCTGGCTCCATTTTAAAGTGGCTCCGTTTATACTACTGTTTACACTAAAAACACACTAAGGAACTACACAGAAAGTATGACCTAATCAAGAAGATTGCTGCTGTGCTTGATCATAAAGCTCCATTCCTAGCCCTTCCTCTCAAAGGCTGAGGCCTAGCAGACAATTACAAGGTCCTAGAAGACCACCAATATTCTAAGTCCAGTTCCAGACCACTGCAAAAAAGCAAATACTGCAATAAAAAGAGTCTCGCGCAATTCTTTCTGGTTTCTCGCTGCACATAAAAATGTTTATACTATATATTGCAGTCTATTAAGTATACAACAGCATATGTGTTAAAAAAAAACAATGTACAAACTTTAATTTAAAAATACTTTATTGCTTAAAAAGTGCTAACCATCATCTGAGCCTTCAGCGAGTCATAAACTTTTTGCTGGTGGAGGGTTTTGCCTCGATGTTGATGGCCACTGACTGGTCAGGGTGATGGCTGCTAAAGGCTGAGGTGGCTGTGGCAATTTCTTAAAATAAGACAATGAAATCTGCCACATTGATTGATTGACTCTTCCTTTCATAATCAATTTCTCTGTGGCATGAAATGCTGTTTAATAGCATTTTACCTGCAGTAGAATTTCTTCCAAAATTGGAGTCAAATCCTCTCAAACCCTGCCCTGCTTTATCAACTAAGTTTATGTAATATTCTAAATCCTTTGTTGTCATTTCAACAATTTTCATAGCATCTTCATCAGGTGAAGATTCCACTTCAAGAAACCCTTTTCTCTGCTCATCCTTAAGCAACTCCTCATTCATTAAAGTTTTATCATGAGATTGAAGGAATTCAGTCACATCATAAGGCTCCACTTCTAATTAGAGTTCTCTTGCTATTTCTAACACAGTTTCTATCTGTAGTTATTTCCTCCACTGAAGTCCTGGACTCCTCAAAGTCATCCATGAGAGGTGGAATCAACATCTTCCAAGCTTCTGTTAATACTGATGTTTTGACCTCTTCCTATAAATCATGATTGTTCTTAACAGAATCTAGAATGGTAAATCCTTTCCAGGTTTTCAAATGACTTTTTGCCCAGATCTACCAAAGGAATCACTATCTATGGCAGAGCCTTACAAAATGTATTTCCTAAATAATAAGGCTTGAAAGTCAAAAGTACTCCTTGATCCATGGGCTGCGGAATGAGTGTTAACAGGCATGAAAACAACATTAATCTCATCTCCATCAGTGATCTTGGATGACCAGGTACATTGTCAATGAGCAGTAATATTTTGAAAGGAACCCTTTCTAAGCAACAACGGTGGACTTAAAATATTCAGTCAACCACACTGTAAACAGATATGCCACCATTCAGACTTTGTTCCCGTCATAGAGCACAGGTGGAACAGATTGTCTTAAGGACATCAGGATTTTCCAAATGGTAAACGAGCACTGCTTCAACTTAAAATCATCAGCTGTATAAGCCCCTAACAAGATTGTCAGTCTGTCCTTTGAGGCTTTGAAGCCTGGCATTGCTCTCTCCTCTCCAGCTATGAAAGTACTAGATGGCATCTTCTTCCAATATAAGGCTGTTTCATCTACATTGAAAATCTATTGAGTATATGTAGCCACCTTTGTTAATCATCTTAGCTACATCTGGATAACGCTGCAGCTTCTACATCAGCACTTGCTGCTTCACCTTGCACTTTATGTTACGGAGATAGCTTCTTTCCTTAAACTTCATGAATCAAACCTCTGCTAGTTCCAAATTGTTCTTATGCAGCTTCCTCACCTCTCTCAGACTTCAAAGAATTGAAGAGAGTTAGAGCCTTGGTCTAGACTAAGCTTTGGCTTAAAAAAAGTGTTGTGACGGGTCTGATCTTCTATTCAGACCACTACAACTTTCTCCGTATCAGCAGTAAAGCTGTTTCACTTTCTTATCATTCATGTATTCACTGGAACGGCACTTCTAATTTCCTTCAAGAACTTTTTCTTTGCATTTACAACTTGGATAACAGCTTTCAGCCTATCTCAGCTTTCAACATACCTCCCTCACTAGGCTTAATCATTTCTACCTTTTGATTTCAGGTGAGAGATGTGCAACTCTTCTTTTCACTAGAACACTTAGAGGCCCTTTGTAGGGTTATTAATTGGCCTAATTTCAATATTGCTGTGTCTCAAGAAATAGGGAGGCCAAAGGAGAGGGAGAGATATGGGGGGACAGCCAGTCAGTAGAGCAAGTCAGAACACACACAACACTTAACTGAGTTCACTGTCTTAAATGGGCACAGTTCGCGGCACCTCAAAACAATTACAACAGTAACATCAAATGAAGATCACTGATCACAGATCTCTATAACAAATACAATAACAGTGAAAGAATTTGAAATATTGCAAGAATTACCAAAATGTGACACAGAAACAAAGTGAGCAAACGCTGTTGAAACATGGCACATGTAGACTTGCTCAATGCAGGATTGCACAAACCTTCAATTTGTAACAAAAACACAGTATCTGTTACTTGCAATAAAATGAAGCGCAATAAAACGACTTATGCCTGTACTCCAATCTACCTCACTGAAGAACAGCCTTTCCAAAGGTGGGTTGAGGGAATAATTCTATATTCAAGCATTTTAATTAAAGTCTTCAAAACTAAAGGCAGTACACATGCCTCTGAAGAAAGAAATACACTCTCCTTAGTTTCAGGCTACTTGATTCTAAGCATCTTCTTTAAATATCCTGAACAAGGCCCTTGCCAGCCCTTAAGTGCATTCCAAAGAGGTTAAAGTATCCCATTACCACTGGTCATTTTTCTCTCCCTACAGCCTCCCAGAAGGCCCAAAGTCAAAAGGGCTAAGGGCATGAGGTTGAGCACAAGGCACCCCTCACAGTGTTTCTCCCTACCACCAAGCCCTTACAAGGAGGAAATTTGGGGGGCAGAAACACTCAAGAATCTGTCTCATCTATCCAAGCAGCCATGGCACAGCTTACTGATGAGAAATGGACTTGAATTCTCTTCTCATTGCCTGTGGATTACCTCTCCTTATCATCTCCTAGACTCTCTCAGCAACAACTCTGCTTTTAGCTCCTCCTCTATATGGACTCCACAGAAACTGCTCTTGCCTATACATTCCACTTGTTCCATTCTATGTAAAATCTGTACCCCCTTTTCCACTTCCCTGACACACTCCCAAGCTTAACTTCAGGCATGAAGTCAGACATCACTACACACCTATCAGAATGGCTAAAATAAAAAATAATGACAACACCAAATGCTGGCGAGGATGCAGAGACTGAGCACTCATACACTGCTGGTGGGAATGTAAAATTGTGTGGCTGCTTTGGAAAATCAGTCTGGGAATTCCTCAAAAGGTTAAGCATATGACCTAACAATTCTACTCCTCAGTGTTTACCCCAAGAGAAATGACAGCATATGTTCATACCAAGACTTGTCCATGAATGTTCAATGTTCACAGCAGCTTTATTTGTAATAGCCCAAAACTGGAAATAACCAAGATGTCCTTCAGTAAGTGAATGGCTAAACAAATGGTGTAATGTCTATACCACAGAATACTATTCAGCAATATGCTGAGTGAAAAAAAGCCAATCCCAAAATGTAATAGACTGTGTGATTCCACTTATATAACAGTTTTGAAATGACAAAATTTTAGAAACAAGACAGATGAGTAATTACCTGAGGTTAAGAAGGGAGGAAGAGGAGCTATAACTAAAGGGGTAGCATAATGAAGATCTTGGTGGTGATCAAACAATTTTTTTATATCTTGATTGTGGTGGGAGTTACACAAATCTACACGTGATAAAATAGCATAGAACTATATGCTTTATTCTAAAGTCGACTTCCTACTTTTGATATTGTATTATAATTATTAAGATGTATACAATGGGTAAATTGGGTGAACAAAGGCCTCTCTACTATCTTTGCAACCTCCTATGAATCCATAATTATTTCAAAATAAAGTGTTAAAAATATTGCTCAGTTGGAATATCAAGTCTCTATCACCTAAAATCTCAGGAGTCCAGGTCCAGTTCCATTAAAAGCTCTCAAAGGAACCAGGTCCACCCTTGCTTTACCGCCCTTGACTGGAAAATTGGGGTATTACGGCTGTGTTAGAGCCTTCTTTTAAATCTGCTGTTTTTCCTCTCCATTTCTTTTTCCACTACATCAGGCTGTGGCTTAACAAGTAACAACAGGTTAGAGAAAAAGCAAAGCAGTATGACTGGCAACCAATGAGAAGAAGAAAGGAAATGACATTGCAAAAATAAGCAGAAAGTTTATTCAAAGGTAAGTTAACTGGTGTCCCAAAAAACGGATGTGGAACATGGTAATTATTCAGTCAGAGGTTTCTGGCTATCAAAAGTCCCCTCAACAAATCGGTTTCCCATGGCAATTAAAGCAGGAGCCAGAAGACTCAACAAACATCAAAGCTCTCTTCTGCAGGACAAAAAAAGGAGACAAGTGAAGCAGCCACTACTCAGGAGGCCCTAACTTGGAAACACTGCCAGCAATCACCACATAACAGCATTGAGACAAAAAGAAATTTGAGCTGACAAAAATGGCTGCCTAGGCTTTCCAAAAAGTAGTGCTACCATGTGACTCTCTGTTCAAAAGATATGTTAATAATCAGGGAATAAAGTAACTTCCTGTTCTCAAGCCAAATAAATAGAATTTATCCCGACTACAGGGTTGGGAAATTATTAATTGCAACCTTCAGCAGACAAAAGGTCTATTTTAACCTGTCTTTGTTCACTGTGTCCAAGTATTCAGAAGATCTGGTGGGTAGTAGCCAAGGAGATCGACTTCTAGACCTGGCTCTGCCACCAACTTGGTAGTTTAGTGACCTTGGACAGGTCATTTTCCATCAGCAAAACAGGACTAGCCAACCATTTCAAGGCTCAGGGTTAATCTGTGTTGAATGAAACTTTGCGCTCTTGGGCAGAAAGATATTTCATTAGGTCCAGAGAGAGAAAAGGTAAGTACCTCCTCTAGTCTCACTCCCGACCTGCCCAGTTAATTCCTCAAGCCAGTTACCCAGGAGAGAGGAGATAAAGCCTCAAACTGCAATTGTAGGAAGATGACCAGTGTTGATGCCCCATCCACTGACTTTCAGATGGTGCATGCATCTGGAAAGGTCAGCATTGAGCATAGAGCAGATGGGAGGAAATAATCAAAACCCAAGATCTGGCTGCATGCCAATGTCCACCAGACCTGTTTTTCATAGGGTCTATGCCCTTTCCTTAACATCATCTGATGGGTAGAGAGGGCCCTTGTCTAATACTGGGATGGCTGTAATTCCTACTTTGTCTAGAATGGAAAGGCCTAAATAATTTCGGAAAAATGAGACACCAGATATTTCTCATGGCCAGATGTTATTGAGCTCTTCTGACTATTCCCATAGCAAGGCACAGGTCACTTGCAAATTAATAGTGGCTAGACTGAAATTAAGAGGGAAAGGGGAACTACATGAATTTTTAGGGTACTCATACTATTCTCTAAATCATAGTGCCTTCATATGCTTAAGCCTAGGGTAAAGGGAGATTCCTTACCGCCTTATGTGTCTGTTAAAATCCAAAAGATGCCCTCACTTGAACCAGCCCAAATTGGGAAAGGGGCTGAATCACACCATTCACATGCCTGCCCATCAATCACTCACTTCCCAAAAAGGACAAGACTACACAAGACTATCAAAGCAAGCCCTTACGGAAAGCACCACCCTTGGATACTCTCAAGGTATATAACAATCAAGTGCAGCAGTTAAATACCTGTCCTTCTGCACTTTGCTCCTGGCATGCACAAATGTACCACGTTACAAAAAGAATAAATGTAAAAGTTCTATACACCATACTGGTAATTTGGGCAGATAAGGGAGAAGCCATGTTGGTTAAGTGACTGGGGATCCACATGGGCAGAGTAAGAGACCACAAAGCGCATGGGAAATCTTTCCCGCTTCTAACATCCTGTTTCTCTAGCCACCCTTGGGGGTGAGTTTAGAGAACACCAAGAGTAGCCACACCCTGCTCTACCCAGAATGTGTCACAACCCTGATGCAACCCTCCCCCACCCCGCCACGCCTGGGGTCCAACGACTTGGTAGGGCAGTAGAGGCCTGTTACGTAAGCTCTGCAGGGCAGCCTTCAGTACACCCCGCCCCATTTCACTCTCCTACCCCCAATGCTTTGGGTAGGGGGAGTTCTTCTCCTGAACATTTAAATCACTGAAAAAGATTTCCTTTTCTGCAGGGGCCTTTAAAATGTGGGCGGTTTATCCTTTGCCTGTGATGGTCTAGGGCGGGGGTTGGGGGCAGGGCAGGGAAACTAACCAAATGACCTTTCAAGGTCCCTACCTTGGGGCCTAGGGATTTGCAGGCTAAGCCTTAGGTCCCGCCACGCCAACTAAGAGCTAGAGGCGACGGAACTGCATGGCAGAAAAGAGAAAGCTGGCAAAATGTGTCCCAGCAACCTGAGCCTTTCCTCGGTGGAGCCATCCCGAAAGGGCAACTACGGCTGTCTTCCTGTGCTGGGGAAAATATGGTTAGAAATCGTTAAACCTGGGCAAAGCCTCGGTCACAATGGTAGGCAGCCTAGCCCAGCACGACTAGGATCCACAGGGCCGAGCCGAGCACTAAAAGCAACTTTGGACAGGCAGGGAAGCAAGGCGGCCCGGGCCGGAGAAGCTGAGGCAGAGCCCCAGGGGTGCGCGGGAAAATAGGCAGAATTACCTCATAACGACCCGCTTCCCCTTCACGTCCAGCTTGTCCAGAGTCAGTTTGTTAGAAAGCGACATCCTAGCAATACAGCAACTGCGAGCAGCAGGGGATCAGTCAGCGGCAGAGACAGAAGTGGAACGCGTGCGGAACGACTATAGCCACCGGAACCCGCCGCCCCGCCCCCAG